TATATATATATATATATATATATATATATATATATATATATATATATATATATTTATTATTCCTTATAGCCGTTGCGACAGATGGTAGAGGATTAACAGAATTTATAACAGTATGTTTCCCTTATCTCGAACAACATCTGTTCACGTAATATTTCTTAATCAACAATTGATTACGCAAATACAGATGTTAACTCGCAGAGAAACCGACTGCGTTGCAATATCGATTAAGTAACGAAACGCGAAATAACAATTAAGTAGCAATTTGGATCGTCTTTATCGCAAATGCTATCTGCTTGCATTAACTGTGCAAACATAATTTTCTCGTATTGTTATCAAAACGGTATTTCTACTTTCAGTCATCAAAATTACATCATTTTCCGGTTGATTAAAATCGTACAGGATCAAGTTTTATCGAAATAATTTTCATTATACCGCCTCGAATAAGTTGCAATTTCACTCGCGCTGTTATGAATTTGTAACATTTGAGAATTGCAAGTATTGTAGTAGTTGCATTATCAATTTAACGATTTTGTCACTTTTCTTAGTAACATAAAAACACAATTCTTCGCAACGAAAAATCGCACTCAGAGAAGTGAATAACTAAAAATATCAATACCGAGCAACACTAATTTAATTTTCTACTTTTTTCGCAGAAACCACTTACCCATTGCCAACCCTCACCGACGTGAGCGGGAGCATCAAACTCCGGCAGGACTCTGACACCGCGGACCAAGGCATAGTCCATGATCTCTTTAATCATCTCGGGTGTATAGATCTTCGTCTGCGAGTAGCTACCGTATTTGACGAATTCCGGCCACGTTCTGCTGACGTAGGGGAAGCTGTGGGAATCGGTGATGTGCCAGTGGAAAGTATTCAACTTGGACATGGCCATGCCATCTATCGTCCGCAGGATCGTCTCCTTGTTCACGTAGTTTCGGCTGGTATCCAGGAGTATCCCGCGATAGGGGTACTTTGGACCGTCAAAAACATACACATCATTGGCGATTTGTATGATGTTCCGCAGCTCGTCGTAAACGATCAGCTGGCTGAGGGTCTCTATACCGTAGCGAGCGCCGAAGTACGTCTTCGCCGTGATGTGCGCTTTCACCTGGAAATTAATTAATTACATACAATTAATAGTTAGCAACAGACTGTCGTAAGCACAATCGTTGACGCATTGGCGCCGCGTGTTGTCTATGTTATTTTCCGCCCGTAAAAATAATGCGAGTAAAATATACAAAAACATTGAAAATACGAAAAATGGGCACGGTCGTAGCAACTTTAACGAACTTAATTTGTCGCATCAGCGCGTCATCGACGAATAAAGAAGATCACGATCGTTCATGAAATTAACGCGTTCGGACAAACAGCGGTAATAGTGAATCATCTTACATTGTGCCATATGTATACACAAATATATCTGCCCTTATCACGCGGACAACAGAAAAAACTCGTTTAACGGATCTCAAATATCTATGTCACTAACGGCAGCTACGAAAATAATGGTGACGCGTTGAAATAACGGAGTCGTTGGTACTCAACGCATAGCGGCGGCTTACGCGTTACAGCGGTATCTGTAGTTTTCTCGTTCCGCCCTGACAAAGATATTCGACGACAAAGTCGACTTTTACGCGAATAGCCGAGCCATGAAAGTTGAACGTACGTTAACTCAGCATTCTCCTTGTTCGTTTCATTTTTTTTATTCGAATAAAAAAGCGCGGTAAGGTTCTATTTCCGACGTTCGCATAAAATTTCAAAATCAGAAACATAAATTACACGGACAACTAGACAATCCGCAAAGATGTCGTGGGCGACTCAGCCGAAAGCAAAAAGTTCAGAAGAAATTTACTGAACGTCGTGCTCTTTTTTCTTTTACTTTCAGCCTCCGCCCTCTACGCAACTGCTTACCTGTCCTCCATCGCCCAGAGATACTTGGAGAGTGTAGCTCTCATCCGTCTCCAAGGTCAGCTTGGCGTTATCGACATTAAGATCTTTGGTGAAGTGGATCGTCAAGCGAGCGCCGCCGTCTTTCAATGTCAACGGACCGCTAAGATTTTTTATATTATTTTTCAGACGATCTATGTTTTTTTGAAGTAGATTTCCCACTACCGTCTGCTGCGAGATATCACCGAGGACGATGTCGTTGGGATTCAGTTGGACCACGGTGTTACCGATGGCCAAATGTCCCGTCGGCTTCGGCCAAAGAGTTCCACCATCACCACACGACAATTGGCAGACGCCGAGAGCAAGGGGGTTGCTAGTCTGTTCCGTGATCGATTGCTTCTTGCACAAGCCATTATCGCACTTGTAGTGCCAAGGAGAGCTACGATTCGAAGAAACGCTAAGCTCGATTGATCGTTCTCAGACAACACAGACCTCCAAAAGACGTCTTAAAAACGTTCAGAAGATATCTTATATCTTAAGAACGTTCCCACGACGTCTCTTGGAAGTTTGTTTTGTTGATTAGAATCGAAAAGCGCAGGAAAGCCTAATTCTTACATGTTTTTCATCCGATTAAGTTTCTCATTGTTGTAAACTTCGTTGTTCTGTCGTAATTGTGATCACAACACGTTACTTCGTCACTGTCGCAGCTGCGATTCGAATACGTCATATCGATGAAAAACGCGGTCGTCGTTGACGCGCGAAATGCGACGCGACTTTCAGAGACGCGGAGACCGCGGAAAACTGCGGAAATCTTCCGAATGTCGCTGAACTTCGCGACCGGCCGACGCGGTCTATTTCTCAGTGGATCCACCCACCTGTTGCTTTCACCGTGCGAGGCGAATTACCTTTCGATCTAAAACTAACACTCCCTCCTACTGGTAACGAAGTCCGGCGCTATTACTAACCACCTTTGAATGCGACAATATGCGACTCGCGTTCTCCAACACGTGCGAGAAAATCGATAACCATAATCGGGGATTTCGGTGAGGTAACAGCCGGTGTTTATACAGTAGAAATCGAAAACGGTATGATATTTTGGTAATTTAACATCCTCCTGATAGATAGTGTTTTTCGCTTTCGGTCGCAACAATGATACTACACCGTCGATATTGTTCGATTTTATTTCTAACGATTTTTTTCAAACAGGCTCTAAGAAAAACACGCTCAAACAAATAGGACGAGTAAGAGTCAGTGCCGTCGATCTTGAAACGAGTATAAGTCATATATTCTATAACATTACACAATTGAATTAAGGAGAAATTATTTAAATTACTTGTCTTGTTTGTTCGTTAATTTTATTTTTAATTCTAGTAATCTATAATTTGTTTTGTCCGTTTGTTTGTTCGTTAATTTTATTTTTAATTCTAGTAATCTATAATTAATCCTAAATGCGACATATATCAATGTAAATACTCGCGAGATGTTTCTACGTGAATTATTATTGCAAATAGAAAAATACGGAACGGCAGAAGTTTTTGACATTATTTTGCGAATGGCAATCGTATCGTTAAGAAATGCAAGATCACCAGGTTTTATCTAACAGTGTGAATAATCTCAGATTAAATATTTACATTCTCTCGTTCATGTATGTATGTATATGTGTGTGTGTCCAGCGTGAGAAAATCAAACTGGATGAAATTAGAACGATAGCAGATAATTCCTGGCTTTCTCGTGGTACTCACGTGTACTCCTCGGCCTGATTGGCGCCGCATTGAAGCGCGAGGACGACGATCAGTAGAGTGAGCATGCCGCTTAGAATGACCGTCAGGGCTGCTTTCTGTTGAACGGTCGATTGTCGAAGTGATTTTATCCTTCGCCAGAAGATCGTACTCATGTCGTTTTACGTGGGTAGGGGAAGAGCCGAGTGGGGGCAGCGAGACCACTGATGTCTAACACGTTGTTGAAAAATTATGCGAGTTCGCGCGTCGCATCACTGCGTCCCTATACATCTCATAGCGAATTCGGCAATGAACTTGACATTAAAAATACGACGCGGAATAAGATGTAACATTTTATCGGAAAAATATCGATCTTAAAAAACAATTGTTTGTAATTGAGAAATAATACGCGTGGTAGCATTTAATGAACGGGGTTTCTGCGATGCCAATTTCTTTTGCAAATCTGATCAAACTGTCTTTTTTTTCAAAGCTAAAAATTAATAATTTTATATTCGGGTAACGTGAAAAACGTGTATCATTACAAGCACCTGTTTTGCTCGATAAATTACTGCAATAAGTCATACGTCAAATATCCACTCAGCTGTTCTTCGTTAAAAAAGCGACAACCATCATCGCGTATTGCGTACGACAAACGTCATCGATGCAACTAAAATAGCAATTGCATAACTTCTAATTACTCACGATACAAAATAACAGAAACAGTTAATTTAATGAAGACCGCACATTTAACGATCTTGACGCGTTACGTTAACACTCCGATGCGATAATTGTAAAACTGTAGAATAACGTGCACGAATTATTAAAGGTCGCTCGAATCGTACTTCACATCTCAATAAGAATATGATGTCGATTGATAGTAAATATTATCACATATTTTTTAAGTATACGGTGAAGATCTCCCAATTAATCAACGCTCGTAAATACTTATAAAAATCCAACGAAATACGGTTATGCAAGATAAAGTTAATGATTCATCAAGTTAAAACGGTATATTTTATAATAAACCAAATTACTTAGTAACTTAAGCAATACAAAATCAAAGATCGTAAAATAATTTTAATTTTTTATTACTTCAACGACAGCGTTCGGACTGCTTAATTGTATTTTTTTACGGATCAATTAATACGAGTTTTGTAATACAATTACGCATTCACAATCGTACCATGCAAATGTTTCAACATAATACAGTATGACGAAATTTGCGCAAGTGTCGGTTTAATTTACGTACGATCGAACGAAGAAAGAAGAACAAGGTCGAAGGAGAGAATAAGAATGCAACAATTTCCGCATCATTGTATCTCAATATAGATTTAAGTTATAGGAATACAATATAAATTTATCACATATTTACACACTTACAAAATATATATGTACGAACAGAACAATGGACATTATTTATGAACAATATAACTTTTAATGATTATACTAGAGAGTTATAAGATCATAACTGAAGTTGCAAATAAGTTGCATGTGGCAGCATATGAGAATAATTATCTGCTTGGTCCTTACAACTGCATTTTCTTATTCATCTCCACGAATTGCTCTATATTTAGTTAGCTCGTTTGGAAACACTCGATTCAATTCCACCAGCATATTAGCTTTAAATTTTCTGTAAGCATCAATTTTGCCCTTTACTTGCTCATTCTTTGTTAAAGCCTTTTCTATACAGTCTTTGGTATATAATTGAGGATTTCTTCCTTGGTCAATATAACTGAAACAAATACTCCATGATAGTAATGTAACTCAAAGAATTGATTTTGATATCTGTATATCATTGTTATGCTTACTCAAATACTTCCAATGGTACATGAACATCCTGAACTTGAGACTTTAACTTATCGACTTCCTGCAAGCCACTGACTAGCCCTTGACTAAAAAAGAAATATAACAATTTATAACGCGATTAAAAATAAGTTCCAAAAATTGTTTTTCCATTGATGCAAGGTTATGCAGATATGAACTTATACATAAAAATTCTATAAGTATGATAATATCTTCAATTATATTTTGTCAATAAATCTCGAAAATGAGTTTAATAAGTACAGAACAGTCCCTAATTTGTTGTTGTACAATTATGACACGAAAAATAATGTACGTCATTATTGCAACATAACCTGCATCAGGATCAGCATGCAAAAATTGTTTTCGAGTGCAATTATTCGAGTATGCATATTGTACGAATACTCACATTTTCTGATTTAATACATTTTGCCCTTGTGGCTGGAAATCGCTCACTATAATACGTATTTGTCGTACATTTTCGATGAAGAGCTCAAGTTGAGCTTCCAAGTTCTCCAAAGGGGACGCCATGATTGTTTATTATGCTGCGTTCCGAAATTCACTGCCAGTAAATTCTATAGTATATGTAACATAAATCATAGATTTTCAGTACTGGTAGTGCATTTCGGAACGCAGTCTATATAGGATTTGAGTCGTGGCTAAAAAGGTTCGAGTCTCGGCTACTTGAATTTTTAGTTAAAAAAATTTCCGTTACCAGCCGCCACCATTTTCATTGGCGAGTCGAGGACGTAGTAGGGGTCGGATAGGCTAGTACCTAGACCCGTACATCTTTGGCTGCGTTCCGAAATTTACTGCCAGTACTGAAATTCTATAGTTCATGTCACGTATATTATAGAATTTCAGCACTGGCAGTGAATTTCGGAACGCAGCCTTTATTGTACACCCTTTATTTTCAATAAAAAAAAAAAACGAGGACGTAGTAAGACTCAACAACAAGTCAGACAATTTTATTTTCAAGTAATACAACTCGACAATAGATCAACTGACTTTTATTTTGAAATATTATCACTCAATGACAAGTTAAAAGTGTTTCTTATTTCTTTAATAATACATTTCACTACATATTAAGAGACTTTGTTATTATGAAGTAGATCAACTCAACAACGAATGGAGCAGTGAGCTTTGTGGATTCCTTCTAAAAATAATTCAATAGAGAAATCAAATTTTGTTGAGAGACTCTCTTAAACATGACTTTGAAGCATGTAATAATAGGTGAGTATATTCATAGATATTAATCTCTAGGAATTCATAATATTGAAAAAAAAACAAACCCATAATGACATAAATAAAATTTCATAATGTTTTTCAGGTGGTGGCACAGGTTTTATAGGATCACAGCTCATAAAATGTCTTTCTCTGGAAGGTATTTCTTGCACATGTATTTCCCGAATGCCAGGTCCACATAGAATGTCATGGGTAAGTCATGGCTGGCAAATTTATCTGCTGAAAATTTTGTCAGTGAGAAACAACTGAGATGGAGGTTTGTATCTGAAACCTATAGAATGATTTAGAACGCTACGGTCTACCAGAGAACACATCAGCTGTCATCAATCTTGCTGGACAGAATGTGCTGGATCCAACCCAAAGATGGTCTCCAGGCTTTAAGCAGAACGTCAGGAACAGTAGGGTAAAGACAACAAAGGCTCTAGCTGATGCCATACAGAATACTAAAGCTACGATATTTATGACTATATCTGGAGTCGCTTATTATAAACCAAATGACACTATATACACAGAAGACAGCAAATGCGAGTCATACGATTTCTTATCAAGTATAAACTTTCAATTTTTATTTCTCTATATGTGTATATATATATAAAATTTGTATATATTGTATATTTTATTTTTATACTGAAGAACTATCATTTTTAGGACTTTCTCATGATTGGGAAAATGCTGCAAAAATACCAAAGAAATGCAACATTAGACAAGTCACAATAAGGTCTGGAGTTGTGTTGGGGAGAAATGGTGGTATGATCAAACAGATATACTTGCCATTTTTCCTTGGCCTAGGTGGACCAATAGGTGCTGGAAACCAATATATGCCATGGATACATATCACAGATCTAGTTAGCATGTTTATATTTGCGCTTAAAAATGACAATGTGCAAGGTATATTAAATGGAGTTGCACCTCAGGTAATATGAACAACATAATATTCTTCTCTAATCTTGTTATTATATTACTATTAACATGGTATTTTATATTACTTTGTGTCATTGGTATTAATATCTATATTACTTTTCAAAAATAGCTTATTACAAATATGGAATTCACGAAGGCATTTGCGAAGGCAATGCGGAGACCTGCAATGATACCTCTTCCTAGTTTTGTCTTGCAAATATTATTCAGTGAAGAACGAGCAAAAGTTAGTAATGTATATTTAATAATTTTGTCAATGATAATCTAATGAATTGATTCTATTTTAGATCATGTTGGAGGGACAGAAAGTTGAACCAAAGCATGTGAAAGAATTGGGATTTCAGTATCAATATCCAGATATTGAAAGCGCTTGTAAACAACTCGTTCAGTAAACTTCATACTTTGTACAAAGATACGCTTGATTATGGTAGAAGTCAATAGACACACGTAGTTCAATTATTTTAAAATTATTTGTAATATGATATAATTAAGTTATAAGCAATGATATAAGCAATAATATTGTTAAGTTATGAGCAATGAAGCGCGAAATCTTCACTCTTTTTCATATATTGTAATCTAAGAAATGTTATTTAATAGTAAAATTATTTATTGTAGAACAAATCAAGTTGGTAGAGCTTTACGTCACTTTATTTCCAGTGGGCAGTTCAGTCCAATTAGAGGCTATCACAATCACAGACAATAATAGGACACCACGAACGAACGATATGTAATTAATCACACCTTTTGTTAAGCTCTGACAAGTTACAAGACGCGGGAATGACGCAAGTATTCCTCGAATACTCGACGCAATCAAGATGCATTGAGTTCTCCGTGTAAGGACCTCTTCTCAAATTCATCGACGGATAGCTGTTGAATTGTGTGCCACGTAACAAAGTCGGAAAACTCAGATTTTGCTGTATTCGATAACAGCACGTCTTGCCGCCGCTCAAGACATTATCTGAGACGGTTAAGTCGTTGGACGTAGGCAAACGCGTCCTCGGCAGTTTCTGTAGATACTCGTCTTCAGAGTCAGATGTGAGCAACAGCCGATTAGAAGGATCGATCGGAAAATGATCGAGGTAGTTGAGTCTGCTCATATTCAGGAAATGATTGATCTCCTTCCGAAGACTTTGTATCTCCTCTCTCGTCAGGCCTCTCACGTTCAGAGTAATGATCTTTCCATTCTTGTGGAGAATAAAGAGGCCCAACTCGCTAGAAACTCCAACATGCCGGATATCAGTGAGTTTCATTGAAGTGAACTCATTGGAATGTCCAGAGCATAATTTGTCACTCCAAATGGCTCTTTCGATAATTGCCTTGTTTTCTTGCTTGTATAATATCAAGTCCTCCCATTCCCCAAGATTGTCCAGCCCGAACATGATTTCACCCAAAAGCAGGATACTCAAGAAGTACAAGTTGCTTATTAGGCGGCTAAATATCGCGATGAAAATTAACGCCGACACTAAAAGGAGGAACGTTAGCTGCTTTACGATACACGCAATAAATATAGAGGTAAAAGATTTTTACGTTTCTAAATTTATAATTTTTTCAATGTTTAAATTTTTGAAACATAACTAAATAATGCACTCTGTGCATTAATAACTAAAAATAATTAATCAAAATTATCATAAATATATAATATATATATATATAAATATATAAATATATAATAATTAACTTATCAACAACATTAAAGTAATATCAAGTACTCTTACAGCTGAGCAATAACCATGCGGTGCATCCTGGTCTTCGCGATATGTGTAATTTGTTTTTGTCTAAAATTTTAATTTTGGGCCTTGCGATGAAAATCATACTGTTACGAAAAAAATTTCAACAAGTGTGTTAAAGTCGTGCGTGATGAAAAAGACGAGAAAAATTTTGACGCGTCTGAATCACCGAGAATCAGCTGAATAATGCGATGCGCATTTGTTATTTTATATTATTTTCGTGGATGGTCGAGTTTTTTAATTCATTGATGGATCCATCGCATGATACGCAAATGCAATGTTTCGCTGTATTTACGCATCATGCGATTGATCTATCGATGAATTAAAAAACTCGCCTGATGAATCAGGAGCCAAAAATTTGGTAAGTTTTAATTAAGCAATGTTGTGAAAAAAAAATTAATTAATGTAAAGGTAATATAAATATAAATTGCGTAAGACAGATAAATAAATACATAAATTACATAATTTGCAATATGTATAATTTTGAATCGACGACATGATAAATTTGCACTTTAAATGATTTGCTCGAAATTATTTTTAGTCTCAGTCAAAAGATTGATTTAAGCGTTAAGCTCTAAAAATTGACCAATCACAATCAAATATGAGGAAAATAATCGACTGTAATTGTTTAATTTTTAATGCTAAAGACTTAAATCACTTATTGTAAACTGAGATTTACTGATTGACGTGTTCTTATGTAATAATCAAAATTTCTATTTAATTAACAAGAGTATTGGTTTCCCGCGAAATTTATATCTACAATATAATCGCGTATTTACTATAATAAATTTTGCAAAATTTATCTCCTGGCACTCTCCGTGAATGTAGATTGAATTATCGATGTAGTACGATGTGATAACGCGAGATGGCGCGACAAGTACCGATTCGTTGCACTAACTACGAATTTCTTTTTGCAGAGTAACGCAAGGTGTCGTCACGTAAATCGATTCGTGGCGTGCGGTATGAATTTCTTCTCTCAGTAGTACGCGAGATGTCGTCGCATGCGCCTCAATTAACTGCAGCGAGAAGGAATGGAAGGGGATGCGATCAACGGCTCTCCGGCGGGTAGTAATTAGCTTCTCCAAGCGAAATATTGTGACAAATACGTAAGCACCTTATACAACTTTATTTATCGCAAGATCCATTATGATTATGCTATAAGAAAGACACAGTACGATGAGCGACATCGATTTGCGTCTCACAAAATTCGGATAAGAAACCGTTAATCAATAATGACGTCTTTGCATCACGATTTATACACAACTCTCAGTAGTAGATTTATTAAAATAAATTCATTATGAAGGGACGTATGACCAGTTGTACAAACAACGAAATGGATCATCGAGCAGTCGTGTTTATTCGATATCTCGCTCTGGCGCTGAAAATTTCGCGATCAAACTCCCGCAAACTAATGTTACGTTATAACGGACGATCGGATAATGAAAGATGCAAAGAACGGTTGTCTGAGAAACTTGTATGGACATATTCTAGCGAAAATATGACAGCACACGCCAACGCGTTCTCTTGTGCTTCTCTACGAAGTGTGATGAACTGTTCCAGGATTAATTTTCATTTTCGCAAAACTCAAGGGAGGCTCGCAGGTTATTAGCGGAGATTTGCATTGCGACTACTCCCCGAGAGAGCGCAAAATGTGGACGGCGAGTCATCGAAGGTCGTGAAACCGCGCCGGACAGAAATTACGTTTCGCGAAACCGTTATCGTCGTGGCTTGCAAGAAAAATGACCACCGATAAGAACACACGTGTTCAAAAGACGAAACGATTGCGGCCCCGTAATCGTCAACACGCTTCCATACACGCGTACACACACATATGCACGGTATGTCGAGTGTATCGGTGCGATGGTACTTAACGAGCGTTCTTTAGCAAGCTAAATTTCCAATAATACCGGTTGCGGTTCTCGCTCTGCTCAGTATCGCAAGAACGATTTATTTCATTACCAATCGTAGCCTCAACGGATGCTTTTTAACCCGCGAATTCAAGATCAATTTAAATAGATTTTAGACGCGGCTCATAGCAGTGAAATGAATTATTCTAATAAGGGGCAGAAATTTAAGAACACACATTTGAGAAGTTACTTTTTCTCGCATATTTTTTTATAATTTTGTAGATGAGGTCATTAGAATATTATAGTAGCGAAGAGATTCTATTCATAGAATTGATCTCGTGATGCACTGAGAGAAAGAATATTTAAAAAATAATAAATATTTATTTTCAATGGATAATACATCTACTTCAATCTAAATTCCTTTATATAAGTAGGATAAATGAATATACTTTTTTTTTAATCTTAGTTTTTCATGAGAGTTTTCTTATTTGAGAAAAATATTTTATACTAGTACAAGTAAGAACGTTATTAATATCCATCGAACAAATATTTTTTATTTCTTCAATATTTTCTCTGCCAGCGTGTACGCATATATATGTGTCCTCGTAACCACGCGGACTTATCAGTGCAAAATAAGTGCAATACTTTATGTCCAGCACACAGCTGACGTTATCAGCGACATCCGCGACCAATTATCGTCGGCGATTCTTGGATCCTTTTGTTGTCTCAATATGTCGCTATCGTACACAGCTGCAGAATGTAATCACACGTAAAGAAATCGCACAAGTGTGAGACTTGGCTATAGAAAAGACTCAGTCTCAGAAAAGTAACAATGTCAGTGGTGTCATCCACTTTTTAAAAATCGCGTCGTACTCGCAACCTCGGAAGTCTCGGGGGAAGCTTAAGAGAACTTTGAGAAACGAAGAAACAGACATTGATTCTTTCCCTCCCGAGACGTAGATTCGTGTTGCCGTTTTACTTTCTTCCTCGAATATCGTGCTTGTTAAGGAGGGGAAGAGGCGAACGAAAGCTTTCACGAAACTTGAGCTTTCACGAAACCGTATGTGTATATTATCGTGAAGTTAGGCGCGAACCACGAATCATCGTAAAACCGCTTCTCACGGTGAGCTGCGCGCGCGTAACCGTGCCGCGAAGATATTTAAAACGCAAAGTGTCGTTCTCTCGAATAAACGCCGCATCACGGTCCGACATCTACGTGCCCCGTTTGCCCTGGCGCTTTTTGCGTGTGGCCCGTCGCACACGTGTACGTATTAAGCACGAGCTGCCCTCGGTATCACGAAATGTTTACCTCGGCGACAGTGCGCGCGCGAGCCAGGTGTGTTTATCGCCCTCGTGTACATGATTAAAATATCACGCGCGCCGGAGTCCACGAGTACGTGCGCATATCGTATCGTATCGGTCCGCCAGTCGGCCCGATGTTTTAATCAGCTACACGAATCTCGCGGGAGAGGCAGAGAAACAGAGAGAGAGAGAGAGAGAGAGAGAGAGAGAGAGAGAGAGAGAGA